AAAGTTTCTACATAAACTACAAAATTTTTTGTGTTGATGACTAGCCTGCCTGCAGTCCAGATGTACCTCCTGTTAGAAATGCCTGCAACATGATGAAAAAGGTAATTAAACAATACTGGCAGCAGACCATTTCCATTTAAAGTTAGTCAACATTCACACCACATGACATTCAAATGATAATGTTTGAACTGTCTCGGTGGGAATCTCCACAATTCTTACACCTGTTTATTGACACTAAATGAAACTTATTGAAGACAACTTCACATTTTGTTAAAATAATTTTAATAATAATTAAGATAATGATTAGAAAAAAGTATACATTACGGCAAAACCAACTACACTTACTACAAAATTTAAGAAAAAATATGTTAAAGACAGAATTGTTCTAATTAAACATTTTTCGTTTATCTTTTCTGCTTAAAACTGATTTTCACTTCTGTTTTACAGTATAACAATGTTCATACATGATCTGTTACCTGGCACTGCCAATATTAAAAGTTGACTACAAAGACAATCAGGAACTAGTTCTGCAATTACTCCCTAATTTTTTACCATAAAGTGACTAACATATGAAAGCATCAGGTCACGGTGCATCCCAACCTGTGAGAGCACATGCAAATAAACACAAATGCACAATTACCTTTGAAAAAAGTAACCTTTATGAGCAGTTTTTTAATAGTACCCCTTCCTAAATATTTCAAAGTCTTGCTCTCATTTGATTCTCTTTGCAACATCCAGGTAAGCAAATTCGATCTCCCGCTCTGCAGGACAAGTGTTGGTGAACTCCTCCCTCTTGTAGGCACAGTTCAGATACCTCCACACCCCTGTCATTTCTGCTGGGATCTCAAAGTTACGATATTTCTTGGCTACAACCTAGAAAAAGAAAAACATGTCAACAGCGGCAAAAACATGAGGTTGAGAGTGCTGTAAAAAAAATGGTGAAACTCGTGGTAGCATTAACCTTTAGGATGTGTAGTTTAGGCAGGAGGTTGCAGTCAGCCAGAGTGAGCTCATCTCCATCAAGGAAGCTCCTCGTGGACTCAGGCAGGTCACCTGTGGCATCGGCATCGATCTCCTCAGGCAGGGGCGTCCGCAGGAACTCATCAAGACGCCGCAGAGATTTTAGTAAGGCTTTCTCTAAGGCTGTATGAACATATGGATTTCAAGATGTACAAAAGACGCCTTTTAATCTAGCAAGTAAAAATTAACATGACGTGTTATTTTTAGGTGCTTATTGTAAACATTAAAGAAGACACAGGCTGCAGGGTTTTGTCTGAATGTAGCTCCACAAATGTTGCAACAGTTTTATGGAAAGTTTCAGGCAAATTCTTAGGGCCCAACCACTGAGAGGAGCCCCACAAGTCACTAATTACTTAGGTTCAGAGCAGAGACTGTGTTGAAAGATTGCCCACTTAGTGTGTTGTTTATTGGACAGGAAGCGGCAATGATACTCAGGTCATAAAACAAGACCCCAGCACTCCTTTTTTTTGGCAAAAACACTTTCTGTTATTAAAACGAGGAAAAAATTAGATGATTATCACTTACCTTCGTTGGCATCTTTTTTCTGGTTTTTGATGTAAGAGGAAAACCTGGCAAACAAATCAATGCCGGCTGCGTTGGCCTCTTGATGTTTGGGAGCCAGTTTGGGGTAGCTGGTTGAACAAACCATTAATATATATATATATATATATATTTTGTTATGTGTTCAACTTTGTGCCACCCCTGTGTGTCTTTGTACCTTGGTGGGGTTAGTTTCTCCTCCAGAAAGTCCACTATCATGTTCACGTCTACCTTCACCTCACCATTGAAGGTTACAAAAGGAGGGTTTGTTCCTGGAGCGAGATCCTGAAGGTCTGCAGGCTTACTGGAGACACAAAATGTCTTAACTCACAGGATGTTCTCATAAAACGAACAGTCACATCTGAAACAAGGACTTTGTGAAGGGTTCACCGTTTGAGGTCGACAGTGGTTACATTAAAGATGACTCCTTTAAGCCACAGGATCATGAAGAGTCTCTGTGAGAAAGGACAGTTTCCAATGCTCTCGCCGTCACTGCCTGCCTGTAGTGCACATGAATAAAAAATAGATAATAATTAAATATATAAATACAGAAGCAGTCTTCAAAATGACAATGCCAAATGTCCAAGTCAACATCGTCATTGTCATTTTTCAAATTAGGATACACAGAGAGTTACAATGTAAAATAAAAAAACAAACAAATGGCCCAACCAATGCGGCCCCTTCTATTTAGTTGTATATGATAGAGACAATTGTTTCCTTTCAGACCTCTTACCTTAACAAACAACTCAATTGTTGGGAAGCCAAGCTTTTGAACTGCGACATCATACCAAGACATGATGCACCGCCCAGGTCAACTTGCATGCATCTGAACCAGACTTTTTGTAACTCCAACGACAAATATCATCAGTCACCAAATATTACTAAACCATCTGCACTTAATTCCTGGGTATCTGTGAAGAAATTCTGTCTGTGTGTCCGTCTGAGTTGTCATTGTCCCTGCTCTCTGCTTCCTCTGGTATGTGAGTGTGTCCGTCGCACACAAGCCCTCTTTGTAATCACACCAAACCATGAAAACATGATTGGAACAAACTGTAAACATTCATATTGTGGTTAACAAACTGTGTAGCATAAATATGTGCCATTTCCTTTTGTTCTGTTAATAATTCCCGACATGACGTGATATGAGAAGCCCAAGAAACAAGAATGATTTCAAGAGATAGATGAGGAATTTCTTCATCTTTCAGATGAAGTGGGAGGTTGTGGAATCTGCTGCAGGACACACACTCTAATGGCCAGTAACCCATCTCAATGAAACCAATATTAATCAGCCTGTATTACAATTCCACAGAATATGCTTCTTATCTTTGTGTATTTTTTCTCAATACTTTCAAACTGATTTCCAGTGAATCACCTTTGCCACAGTAAAAGTGCTTCTATTTATTTTCCAGGGAGCTCTGGGTGGTCAGGCTACTGCAGACTTAAGAATTAATGGTCCACTGATTGGCTTGAGCAGTTCCTGTTGAGATGGTACTCTAACAGTTGCCTTACGTGTTATTATTTTCATATTCCCTTGATGAGTTTGTCTAAACTTGGTTCAACATATTATTACCGCCATTTCAGGTTCAGAGTTTTTATGCCAGTTGATCTCAGGACCAAAGAACAAGCAGCTTAATCAGCTTGTACTGAGTACGTGGAGATTAACCCTGCCTGCTACTGCTGACAGGGTTGTACTACTCACCCATTTATACTGTAAACACTGTTTGCTGGATTCCCAAATGTTGAAGAAAAGAACATTGAATCGTTTTTAAGTAGGTGCTTGTATTTTTGTGACAGAGAGGCTACATTGGCTACTTTTTGGGTGGTTGGACTGATTGATGGATGAATGCATGAATGTATGGATTAGTGCAGTGACACATACTTAAAGATTTTCATCAACTCTGGTGTTTGTAGCCTTTACAGTTGCTGACAGAGAAAACCATTGTGCTGAAGTCCAAACTCCCACAGAGCATGACTTGTGTATTCATATGGATGTGTGTATGGGTGTGGAGGGGTCTCAGAAATTAGTGCATTTTTGTCCAGGCAATAAACCTCTCTGTTGGTCCCCAGAGGGTCGGCAGGCTTTTGTTCTTAACTCAGTAAGGAATGTGCTGCCTAATGAGATGGAGGACAGGACCCTGAAGTAGACACTGATGAGAAGTTAAACATAAAGCAGAGGAAAAAAAGAAACTTGTTTGTATAATTTCAAAGGACAGATATTTTATCATCTCAATATTTAGTTATATTATAACTTATATATATAAGTTATATTCAGCATTATATTTCTTATGTCAGCCAATATTCCTCCTTGAACAACATAAGCTGCCCAACAACATAAGGGATTAGGATATTACTTGTTGTTTAAATTCAATCTACTGTAGAGACTAGTACTAGTACTAGAAACATAATCAGTACTTGGGCCACTTTTCCACTACATGGAATAGAAACTAAAACCACGTATAAGGACTATATAATATTATATATATATAATAATATATAATATTATATATATGTGTATATATGTGTATATATATATATATATATTGTTTATTTCTTATCAGAATAAACAAACATATGAATTAAATAATTTTCCAAATGCTGATTAACCAAATTGAATTTAGGCTCCTAACCACCAGACTAACCAGGAATGGTTGTTGTCATATGTTCAGATGCTGAGATTTAACTTTCCAGGCATACTTGAACCACTAAAACCAAAGTGTTGTCAGTTTGGACAAACAATGTGTGTGCTATTTAGGACCAAATTACCTTCACATAGAGTGCAATCTCATAGTGCTGGGAACCAGGAGGTCTGCTGTTCCTGCCCATAGGAGACACAGGGCTGTCCAGTTTCCGGTGAGAGACCAGGTTCTCCTGTTTTTCCTCGTCCTCATCCATGTCCTCTCGCTGTGGGATGTACATGTGACCATCCTCCAGCAAAACCACTTGTCTTTTCTTGGTGGGCTCGGTCATCCTTTTGGGCCAAGAGTCGTCTTTGATCACTGACTTCAGCTCTTTCAGCCAATCCTCCCTCTGTGGCAGACTTGTTGATGCTTCCTTCTTAACCAATTCTTTCTGTGCACCAACAGTCACCAAGTCTTTCTTAACTGGTTTTAGATCTTTTCTCCACTCTCTCGTTTCAGGTGATCTCTCCTCTGTCCCCTGCTCAATTTTGTTGATTCCACTATTGTTTCTTGTTGTTGTTGTGTTCTCTATATCAAATGCCTTTTCTTGAGGTGATGGTGTTTCAAGAGAGAAGATCATCTTCACTGTCTGTTCAGCTTCTTGAACTTGTTCTCCTGCCTCCACGGCTCTCTGTTCCTCTTTTGGTTTGTCATCCATCACATCTTCTCTAGCCTCATCTTTTCGTAGCTCATATTTTTCTTTACTATGTTCCATTGTCTCATCTCCATATTTGTGACATTTTTCATCATTATGCCACATGATGGCGTCTTCAGGAGGGGCTACAGCAGTGATGGGTCTCTGTTCATGGGATTTACTGGTCTGAGTTTCTGTCATTTCTGTGTCCACCATCATTTCCTGTTCCTTATTCTTATCTTCTACCAGGTCTTTCTCTTCTGGCTGGACTTTTAAATTGCCTTTGAGCTCTACCAACATATTTATAAATGCTTTCTGAAAAATATTGTCATGTGTTTTGAAAGAATCATTCTCATGTGCAGACATTTGTTCTTCTGGTTGCTGTGGTTCATCTTTACTTACTTCCTTTTCTCCAAAGGCCGTGTCCATTTGATTACAATCTGCATCAATCTTATCAACTGAAAGTGTTTCTGAAGAACACTGCAACAGTGACCCCTGAAGAGCTGTTATATCCTGCAGTTTACTGTTAAAAGAAGATCCATTTTTCATCTCGCTGTTCTCTATTTGCTCGTTTTCTCCCCTTAACTTCTCAATGAGAAAATCGTCTGCTGTCTCTTCTTCTTCCATTGTCTTGTTTTCACCATCTAGAGTTACAATTTCATCTGGCTTTACTTCCTCCTCCGTATGTCCAGTCTCTCCAGAAATTGTTACCTCAATTCGTCCTTCAGTCTGTGAAATGTCTTTGGCTACAAACTGTAACGGTTCTACATGTAGAGTTTCTGCACTCCCTGAGTCTGGAACATCATCAGATGTGTATAGTTTATCTGTCATGAACTCAGTTTCTTCCTCATATCTAACAATTGTCTCCTGTTGCCATGTGATGTTATTATTAGATTGCTGAAATTCTTCTTTGTGGTTTTTCACCTGATTTTCTTGATTTTCCGGTATGAAAATGTTGTTCTGATCATCCGCACCATCACTGATACCAGCTGAGGTTTGGTAAAGTTCACTTTGATTGTTGACAACTTCATCTGTGACGATGGAAACGACTGTTGCACCTGAAGATGGATCAGCAATGACTTCAAACGCGTCACTTTTATCGGTGAGATTTTCACTTGTGTAATCCACAGACAACTGTTTGTTCTCTTCTGACTCATTTTCTGGAATATCTACTTCTTCAAGTGTCTGTGTGTTACCAGTAAATGACATAATCTCATTTTGAAATCCCATGTCTTCCTCTGTTATGATTTCTTTGCTTACCTCAGTTTCTGGACAAGTTCTTAATTCATTTTGTTCAATTTCCTCACTTTTGCTGTAGCCTTCTTCTTCTTGTTTATCTGTTACTTCAGTTACTGTCTCTGTCTCTTCAGACTCTTCCTTGCACTCATCTTGATCTTCTTTTATTTTTGATTGTTTATCCGTCTTCACTGGTTCTTCATCTGGAATTTTTACTTCACCCTCATTTTTTTCCTCCAACATTCCCACTTGTTCCTCTACCTCCGTCAATAATTCATTTGCTAGGGCCACTTGTACGATCCCTGTTTCCTCCCATTCACGTTGTGCTTCACTTTCATTATTGTCTTGTCCATCTCCAGCTTGGTTAACTAATAAAACATCTTCTCCTACCTCCTCAGCTAGCTCCACTTCACCATCATCATCTTGTCCATCTTTATCTTTTCCCACGTGGTTATCCAGGTCCAAACAGAAACCCGGTGGGTTGTGGACAGGAGCACAGTTAGCTAGGTCCTGGGTTGGACACGATCCTGACTTTGCCATGGAAAATTTTTCAAAGATAGTTTCAAAATAAAGCTAAGAAAGATTTTTTTGGAAAAGTAACAAACAAAGTTTAGCGGAATACAACAATTGGAAAATGTAAAATATTATCAAAAATCGTCCAGTGTCAAACTTCCAGGCAATTCCAAAGAATGTTAGATGATAAGTACAGGTCAGTCTGTACACATACACTGTTGCTCAAGGATTTTAAACTGTTCTAAACTATGGTTCTCTGTATTTCAGTCTTCCACCCACTCTCCCTGTTTGTAGAGGATTAATGGGCTGATCCTCACATGACTAGGTGCTTAAACCACACAGGAACCACACTGGCACACACACATACACACACACGCTCTTATACATACACACCAAGTTCGTTCAACAGAACAGGACCTGAGGGATAAAGTATCAAAACATTCAAACTCAGAAAACATAAATGGCCACCTTGCACAGTGTAAATGAACCGCCCCAGAATACAAGCAGTGTGACCCAACTGAGCCGAGAGACTGGAGGAGGAAAAGGAACAGAGAGATAGAGGTAGAGAGTAGGACTTTCATGGTGTCGATGGAGGAAGAAATCAATTTGTGCAGAGATTTTCCAGAACCAGTCACTTCTTTTTGTCACTTTTTAAGTTAAGTGCTGTGAAGTGGTCAGGTGTCTTGGTTAATTATAAAATGCTTTTGTAGAATAATTTAGGTACATAGGCACCCCCTTTGAAATGCTAAATAAAGAATGCAAAATAAGTGTATTTTGGTCATAATTTAAGTTTAAAAAAGAATGCAATACAATATGCACAGCAATGTGTAAACTTTTGTGGTGAATGTATACATTAGCTAATATCCCCTTTTTGCAGCTGTTTTCTTTTGCGTCTTTTGTGTTGAAAGCAAATGGTGAGATCAACAAGTTCATTCTCAAAGACAACTCTATAGCAACAAGCATGCCTATTATTTATTTATTTTCATAAAAAAAATAAACATTTGTGTCACCCACAGATGATTTTGTCGATTTTACGAGAAGGGAAAAGTAATAAGATTTGTTTCTGCTACCGGTGATTTATATGACAATTGATAATTAAATGTCGACTCTAGAATAATGCGCACAGAAATGCTTAATATAAACTATCCAGACGTACATTAGGAGAATGAAAACAATGCAGTTATGATTTGAGCTTTGACTACTATCCCTGTGTGCACGTTTATACCTTTTTACTAAAGCCGGAAACGAAGCGAGCGCTTAGTCTACGTCATTTCCTCAATCCCTTGTGCTACGGTAACTACTATCCGACTGGTTTATCTTTAGCTAATGCCAACTAGACTTTAGCTCTCTGTGTCAAAAGCAAAACTACAGTCTTAACTCCAAGTAAAGGACACAAGTCTGGTTATATATTTTGCTGTGTTTTAAGTCACATTTCTCCTAGAATAGAATAACTTGCCTGCTAGCAATTTTAAAGACGCTTGTAAAGCTCCACACCAGAGCCGAGTTAAAGCTTTTCGCTTCTGTTTATTGCATCGGTC